CGCAAGGTGATCACTGAAAAACGTTGATCTCTGTCGTCGAACTCTAAGCCAGCCTACTCCTTTTACTCTCTGGAAACATCAAGCAACACCCCCAGCAAGTCGTCTCGAAGAAGCTACCCATTGGGTGGGATGGAGTAGACCACGTGTAGTGCAGATGTGCCGTTGTCGCGACCAAAACGTGGCCACTAATCTCAGCTTTTGGACGAGTTGTTTTGGCTGCGTGGATGCTTGCGCGAGTTACAAAACTGTGCCGCGTTGAAGGAATGCTGTATGTTTTTAGATTGGTTTTACTTGCTCAAATCGTTTAATTATCGTATTTCACTGTTGTATTGGTGCATATGCGATTGCAGTTGCATTTCTTGCTGGCACGAGCCAGCAAGAAATGCAAGCTAGTTCAGACAACTCGTCCGAAACGCCCAACCTTCATTTTAGGGGGGGGGGGGGGAGAGTGGGAGTCCTTGTTTGGGCTCCATCGGCCTTTTTCTGTTTTCTTTCCATTTGCAATCAACTCGGCATCCACAGTTTCATTGTCGACCGCTTCAACCCGACCAAATCAATCTGGGAGGTTGCTCTGAACTCGTGTTACACTTATTTGGAAGAAGCCTAAGCATAAGGCTTAATCGCAAGAAATTGCAGAAGCAGGCACAAATCTAACTTCTTCTACATACGTTCCTTCAACATGATCAAAATTGCGACGCGTTTCAATAGAGTCAAACAACCCGAGCAATTCATCCTTTCTCAGTTCTATTGCCATGGTTCAACTTTTCATTGTAAGTCAGTGTACGCGGCAATTCTAATGTTTCTTCAGATTCCTCAGTGACAAATTGCGTCAAACTTGTTTCAGATTTCTACCATAACTTACAATATATTGACTGTTGTTATTTATTTCATTCAAACTCGTCTCTTCGTCGGATGAAAGGAGCAGCTTGTCAGCTGAATGCAGCACTTTCAAAATTTAAGATGACGCATTACAGGAATACTTGGAGTTTTTTGAACTTCGTGGCGTCCTCAGTATGTCAAGAGAGGAGTTGGTCCTGCCACTTCATGCCAAACCATACCACTCATGGCCGTATTTACAGGTCATCGACAACGCTGACCTCAACCCGATGTTTACCGCACTCTCCCGGCACAATACGCTTCGTCAATCAAGGATCGGTTCATAGGAAGCATAGCACATGCCCAATGGTGCTGCTGCCCTTATTGTCTCACGCATACTAATGGTTTATCTGAGTCTTTTATCTGATCATGTTACTGAGAGCTCGCTACCTTCCTCCTCACAGTACCTTTTCATGTTAGAGAGAGTAATGCTGTTGAGGTTCAGCCCTATCGATATTGTTGTGTTGGAGCATAATATCGTATGGTCCTCATTCGCAATCGTTAAAGCAAACAAAAATTCAAGCGCAAAAGTTATCAGTGATGTTCTTTTCGTCATTATTCAGTAATTCAAAAAGGGGCACTGTGCCCGTTCTCAGGGTCCGCATTATTCTCAATTTGTACGACGTGAATACGACTTGAAATGGAGGTCGGTGGAGTACAGTTTCGATGATGACAATGGATTATGGAAAAAAAACCCTATTTTGGCAGCTTTTTTCTTCATATACAGGGGTGGCCAAAAATAGAGACACTTTGCCCATGGCGCACATCATCGAACTTTCGAGATATTTCGCTCATTCCACGCAAAAGTCTGCTTCTTGGGTGGTCGATCTTGCGCCTTGGCGACAAAGATCTAGGTAAGCCTTGTAGCCCTCTTGGTTCCATCGATACCACCTGTTGTTTAGTAGTCTGGAGAAATTGTCTTCAGGTATTGTTTGGCTCGCCCATGAAAGGGACCGGTCTCAATGCTTTCGACTTTTCAGTCTCTGACGAAGGCGAAGAGGGCGAAACATAAGCCTAATAAAAAGTGCTGAAATCTTGGTCAGGCTACAGCAAAACTATTCGCATGCATCGAAGCTTCTCGTCGCAGAGAGTACTGATGTTAACTGAAAATTTCACAGTGAACATTCTAAGGTATTCCCGTGATTTAGAACAGCGCCTCTCTCAAGCACCCCGCCGTCTTCACAATATGACGTCACCTGCCGCCACGGTCTTGCTCAACGAGGCTTACCGTAATCGCTCCGGCCTGAAGCTGCTTCATAATTTCTTCAATGGACTGACTGTTGAATAGCTCTCCGCCCTGACATACATTAGCATGTGGTGTCAAAACCGCTTTGACAGTTGTTTAAGGGACGTCGTATTGAGTGGTCTATGCCTCGCACGACCTCGTTTGAGCTCGTATGCGAACCATGTTCGGGAAAACCTCGATGTCGTCGTGTAAGGGCCTTTTTTTGTTTTTACGTAACGTTTAGATAGATTTAATAAAAAGAAGTTTTCTTCAATACTGAGTTGGAGCAGTCGAGTTGATTTTAGCAAAGTGTGATTAATGCCGTTCGAAATGTGGAGTGACGTGTCCCTTTTTTTGGCCACCTCTGTAGATTTTCGACCACCTTGATTTCTCAACTTCTAAGCGCCATCCGAGTAACTACAATGTGGAAGAAAGACAATATATTGTAGACGCGAAAGTACGTTGAAATGATTTATGTGATTTCCTGGGTAATATTGTAATTAGCTGAATTTACAGCTTGAAAAACGCTACGATATTATGCTCCAACCCAGTAGATGCAGATCTAAACCTTTGAAGTTCCAAAGGCGGAAAACAAAGGACTTTTCTGGCCCTCTACTGCAGTTAGAAAAAAAGTAAGCAACACGAGTGAAATGATTCATCTTTTATATCTCTTCGATATGCGCCATGCACCCTGCTTTATTCTGGAATCTTTACGATCTTAGAATGCATGTCGGGTCCATTCACATCAAAGTATTCGGAAAACGAATCAATAATTAAGTAATTGATCAATAATGGAGCTAGCTCGTTTCCGAAGTCGCTTTCAATTCCCGTCAACTTTCGTTGTCGTGCAACTGCTCCGAAAACCACTGAAACTTTGGTTGACGGCTTGAGCGACAAGCGCAGCATCGGACCACTACTCATCTCCGTCCCTACGTGTTCTACAATCAAGCGAAAAAGAACTGTAATCGAAATCTTCTCAAAAAGCTTGAACCCGCCTTCAAAAAGTTCTACGGGGGTCGCGTAGAAATCACGCTCTGTCACATGGTTGTAGTCACGTTTTCAAAAAGGTCTATGAGATAAAATTCTTAGTAAACAAAATGCTGCATCTGTTACAAATAGCACTTCAAATAATATTGAGCTGGAGCAGGGATCGTAGTCCCGTAGATGCTTCCTATCACATGATTCATGGAAAATCTAATAGTAAAGGCATTTTCTAGTGTCGCGGAAGGGGTGAAAATTTGGACGTTCCATAACGAGTGGAAAAAAGCAAGCAATCAACCTTTTAGTGATGTTCAATATAAGGGGCCAAAAAAATACATTTTGCCTGCGTCGCACTTTAGCGATTTTTTCATAGCAAAGATTGCCGTCAGAAAACTTCACCATGGTACACTATCTTTCGAGGATCCATTGAGCTCGACCAGTGCACCATGTTTCCGGGCAAATTTTTCTGATGCCGTCCACGTAGGTGGCCACTATGAAGATTTTCTTATAAAATGAAATGTGCTCTTCAATTTTAAGTTGGGAGCACTCGGTTTGAATGAGCAAGTGTGATTAAATCCATTCCAACGCGGACGGAGACATAGTGCTTTTTATTGCCCGCACCCCCTGTATGGTCATTAAAATTATAAAGTTTCAAAAGCTTGTGAAACATATCACCATCATGTCGGTATATGTGCGCAAGCGGTGTGTGGCAGGTAAGTGTTGTTTACCACGCGCACGACAGGGAGATCAAGTTCTGGGCCACGGCGAAGAATCCGCTTATATTTCGAGGTATTATCAGTATCAGATTTAACTGGAGAGATACTGACTTGTACGTCAGCTCCCGCGAACCATTGCATAGGGCGGACCTATCCAAATGCCATTACTTTTCTGTATGGAAGTAGAATGTGTGGCGCATTTCAACAAGGGACTCATCAACGCCTAATGCCTCGCCCTTCATCGAAATCAGTCCACACTATTTACTGCAATGTTTCATAACGTTACAACTGACGACGGCCTCCAAGTAAATCTGGTTAGAAGTTGTTCATAGTGATAGCTGATTTCTGGTAAATGATAGTTGTAATTAGTGACAATCGATAAATACAACTGCAACAGGCTAATCATTTCATTGGCAGAAAACATTAACATTTTGTGAAGGCCGTCGTCACTTGTGCACCCGACACTTTCTTGCCTGAAATCACACCTAGCCAAATTTTCAGCCTTTTTCCTTCCGACATTTCTCTTTCTAACATTATCCACCCACATCAGCCAATAATTTCTGAGTTAGAAATTGAACTCTCGTTACGAAGTTTCATTTGTTCTCTTGGAAGTGCTTATATTGCTCCATGGTTCATCATGTATTTCTCTTTGCTGCCTGAGGAATGTCCACCTGTTTCATGCTGCATGCGCCGACCTCTGGCCGACAAGCCTACACGACATGTGTTGCGTGCGATGGTCATGGTGCGACTTCGTGGCCCACACGTGTGCTGCCGGCTGGGTCATCGTTGGCGGACGGCTGTTACAGCGGAGTTAGTCCGTGCCTGGGCACAAATCTTCAATGATAACCCGACCCAAGTACATAGCTAGGACTATACGAGCGACCATTAAGGCCTGACTAAGTGGAAGAGGGACCGTTCAGAAAATTATTGGCAAACAGCAAAGAGTAGTCGACGCTTATTTCGCACATATCTGCACATCTTCGTACGCTACCTGATCAACATCACGATAAACAGCAAGCAACAAAAATCAAAGTAGTAAACAAAACATGTTGATTCAGCGAAGAACTATCAAGCTCAGAAATGTTTATCTCTATGGCAGATAACAAGTTAGCAACTTGAGCAAATGTTTTGCAACATAAAACAGATATGTTAGAAGGAACCTAATAGTAAAACAACAGCACCGGAAAATCGTCATAAATGCTTTATGGCGGCATGCGAAGCGAGCCATCGAGGCGGATCACCTCTCCATTCAGGTAGCGATTCTGGATGATATGTTGCACCAACGCACCAAACTCTTCAGGTGTTCCCATTCTTGATGGATTGGGAACCAGTTGAGAAAGGAATGTTCCGCACCTTAAAAATACCTTTTTTGTATAAATTGATGTATGCGTTTGATACTTATTTTAATCAATTTTTTCACTAATTATGTTGAAACCAGCGTCAATCGCCGCGCTGGACAAAATTTTGGAACCTAATCACTCCTTTATTTTGGTGATGAGTGTAATTTCCATGTCGACAATCCCAAAGCCCAGTCTTCGTACTTCTATGAAGTCGTCTTACCAGGAAAGATGATTAGGTCATCCGCTATTCGAAATGAAGAATACAGGGTGGCGAAAAATTACGTGCACCATAAAAAA